TTTTTTTTTATATATTTTATATATTTTTATAGTATTTAATGTATTACACATTCTAAAGCTTTTATGTTTAAGAATTCATTTTTAAATGAATATATATTTTCTAAGGTCCTGAAAATATTAAAAAGCTGGCTTCTTTTTTTTTAGTGTACTGTCGGAGGAGGAAAGAGCGAGAAAGGTATTGAGAGAAAAAGCGGCTGCGGAGGCTACAAAATCCAGCGGCGGCAGCTAAATTCCAAAGCAGTCCGTTTGAAGTACAAACAGTTCGCAACGAACGCACAAAGTGAACGGAACGTCGACGACCTCAAAAGGCAGAGGCGCCCAAAATAATCCAGTGAAAAAAAGTGAATTAAAACCAAAACTAAACCAAAAGTAAGCAACAGAAACTTGCATGAACCTAGAAAAATAGTTTAAATGACTGTGCAGGAGATTCTATATTTTAGTAGTATTTACCGGAGGGTAACTTCCGGCCTCATCAAAGTGCATTCAACTTTTAACGGACAAGTGCAACGTTCGTTTCTGAAAACCGAATCCGAATTCAAACCTCGCCCTTGGCCTTCCGCACTAGTACCGTTAGTGGAGTGGGCGGTTTTCCGGGGTTTTCCGAAAGAGACAGGGGTGACAATTGGGCGTACAATTGGCTTTCACTTTCGTTTTCAATGAGAGCATGCGCCGTGCCGTGAACAGCTGTTTTCCCAGTTTTTGACGGGGTGACGTCGGCCACCCAATAAAGTGGAACAACCGCATTTGACTTTGAGAGAAGGTCATTCGTAGGCCCAATTATGAGGCAAGTTTAAGCAGCTTGCAACAAGTGGGGTGGAAAATGTACATATTAAAGTCAAAAATTCTGACCCAAATATGTGTTAAATTTGCACAAAATTAATTTATATTTACATGCTGAAAGAAAAGTGGCAAATATTTTTAAACCTGTTTATACCTGTTTTTTTTTATAACAAATAAATTTTAATTTAAATACTATTTTACATCGTTAAAAAAAAATAAAAATAAACAATAAGAATATATATTGTGATATTAATTTCCTAGTTCTAAACAAATCTATGTATTAGTTTCTAAACAACTCAACGTATTAGTTACCACACCATTTATATATACAGACACCCATGTTTAAACAAAAACACTTTGTCTGAAAACAATATGGCTTATTTTTGCAATACTTGTATAGGAACACTATGAGTTCCCAATAAAAATAAACCGTGATCGCTGAGCCATAAATCATTATCTAGTTCTTATATATCTGTGACATTTCCCTCACTTTTCGTACCTCACACTTAGCACTGCGGAACTCATTGGAACTCTTGGGTTTTTTTTTTTGTACCCAGTCCAAATTCTTTAGAACTCATAACCGCACTCTCGTAATTCAATTCAAGCCAGGAAAACCCTCAACCTATGGCAGATTCTAATTAAAAACGTGCCACATGTTTATATAAATATTTTCTCACTGATAAGTGTTTCAATATGCACTTATAATCTCAAGCAATCTAATCTGCCATCTATATTGCAAACATTAGCAACAACCTCAACTTTGGCCCCCCAAACTCTTGTATGTGATAAGGCCAATTCTACGTCATGGTGATAGAACCGATATATGGTACATATATAAAACGCGTAATTTACAGTCTAATATTAATCATCAGAAACAGTCAATAATTGGGGTGGGAAATAAGTTTTAATGGTTCACTCGACTGATAAGATAATAAATGGTCAATTTTCAAGGAAGTACCTCTGATTGTTGGCCAAATCAGAAATAAAACGATTAATGCTGGATTAATTTCGAAACGTTTAGCGTTGATGCATTGATAAAAATTCCATTTGGGGCTAATTTGATATTATCAATATAAAAAGAAGAAGACTCTAATTGACTGGCAGTGTCATGTGCCCCAATACCATCACAAGTTGCCTCTATGAATTGCTATATAAAAGAGCAAAAAAATCATAAGTTAATTTTTTCGGCAATGTTTTCGACTCGGTCCGGTTGCGTGTTGTGGCGATGTCGCTTTTTTCTCATTAATACGACCTTCGTGAAGGTTAAAGAACGCCAACTAAGCAGTATGTGTGTGTCTGTGTGGGGAAAAGAGTTTCCCCAAAAAATTGTGAATGTTTTAACTAAATCATAGGCACGTGATGGGTAACAACCACCAAATGGGCAATCTCCCTAGGGGAATCTATTTGATTTCCTAACAAGATATTTAAAGGGCTTGCTTTCTTACCTCCCTCAGCAATGGCCGCCATTAAGGACAGTCTGTTGGCCCAAGTTGCCGAGGTGCTGCCCAGCTCCGGGCACAAGGTCACCGTGGTCGGCATCGGCCAGGTCGGCATGGCCAGCGCCTTCAGCATCCTGGCCCAGAACGTCTCCAAGGAGGTGTGCCTCATCGATGTCTGCAGCGACAAGCTGCAGGGCGAGCTGATGGATCTGCAGCACGGCTCCAACTTCCTGAAGAACCCCCAGATCACGGCCAGCACCGATTTCGCCGCCTCGGCCAACTCACGTCTGTGCATCGTGACCGCTGGAGTTCGCCAAAAGGAGGGCGAGTCCCGTCTGTCCCTCGTGCAGCGCAACACCGACATCCTCAAGAACATCATCCCCAAGCTGGTGGAGGTAAGTTGAGACCTATGAAATGGCATTTAAAATTACAGAAAACTACCCAGAGATTCTGAAATCGTCAGTCTTAAAAACCTTTTTAATATTTCATAATGAACTAGCCAACAAACAAAGTTTTAAGAACATTTGATTCAAAATATAATTTTAAATAACTTATAGGTAAACTAATTCTGTTTAAAAACTAAACAGTTCTGTAACACCTGCGATTAATTTTTGACATGTTTTAATCAAATTAATTTTAAATTGCTTCTTACGTAAACTTAATTTGTTGAAAATGTAATGTAAAACAAAGAAACGTGTTAATTTTTTTTTTCATTCCCCACTTTTAACTTTTTTTTTAATAACAACCTAAACGGCTGAAAGCTGTTTTTGATTATTTATTAAACCACAGCTAAATAAGTATGTTTTAAGTTGGATCAGAAACTTTTTTGTAGGAAATGAGTTTAGCATGTGTATAAACTTTTATTTCTTAAAGTTTCCAGAACTTTTGTTATTTAGTTAAAACTAATAATGGTTTTTGAAATCATACTATATTTCCGGATTTAATTAATTTAAGGAACAGAGTTCTTAACCATAAATCTAATAATTATATTTAAAATCAACTATAAATTTTTCAACTTAAAAATTTTAGAGACTTTTTAACCATATATCTCTGTGGTATTTCGGCCAGCTTAAAGATGTACGGGGAACTACAACTAATGAGTTTATTCCACCCACAGAACAGTCCCGATACCATCTTGCTGATGGTGTCCAACCCCGTGGACATCATGACCTACGTGGCCTGGAAGCTGTCCGGTCTGCCCAAGAACCGTGTGATCGGCAGCGGCACCAACCTGGACTCGTCGCGCTTCCGCTTCCTGATGTCGCAGCGCCTAGGCGTGGCACCCACCTCCTGCCACGGCTGGATCATCGGCGAGCACGGCGACAGCTCTGTGCCCGTTTGGTCCGGAGTCAACATTGCCGGCGTGCGGCTGCGTGAGCTGAACCCCACCCTGGGCACCAGCGAGGATCCAGAGAAGTGGAACGAGCTTCACAAGCAGGTGGTGGACTCCGCCTACGAGGTGATCAAGCTAAAGGGATACACCTCCTGGGCCATTGGCCTGAGTACCGCCTCCTTGGCTTCGGCCATCTTGCGCAACACGAGCAGTGTGGCCGCCGTCTCCACCTCCGTTTTGGTAAGTTCCCAACCCACTTTGTTATCAGCTATCACAAACAATTATTTATGGGTATAACAATATTTCTTATTTAACAGGGCGAACACGGCATCGATAAGGATGTGTTCTTGTCGCTACCCTGCGTTCTGAATGCCAACGGTGTGACATCTGTGGTTAAGCAGATCCTGACCCCCACCGAAGTGGAGCAGCTGCAGAAGTCTGCCAACATCATGTCCGATGTCCAGGCTGGCCTCCAGTTTTAAGCGAAACCAACCCAACTAACCACAAATCCATTTACAAGCCACAAACACAACACAAACAGAGCGGAATGCTAATTTTAGTCCAATTCGGAGCCGCGGGGGAGCAGAAGCCAGTGAAAAGATGCCTCGGACAGAGCATCAAGTATTTCTGACTACCAATGTTTATTTTTAGTACACCTCTCAATTTATTTATTATTTCTATGGATTAGTTTTTGTGTGCCCACACGAATAAACTGTTTAAAATTTAAGTTTAACCCGCAATGCTCTTGTTATTTGGTTCATCTTGGGTTCTTCATTGGATCTTATGTTAATTTTTTATGATTTTTTGGCCTGGACTAGCGACGCTCCCTTAATCACAAGTTTAACACTTAAGGAACCTAATTTTAAGGCCACTCTCGATTAATTCCATTTGGAACAGAATCAGAGTCAGACAACAACCGCCGCTACCTCATTAGCGTAAATTTGAAATTGTGAATCGCTTGTCAACTAAGATGTATTCTAGTCAAATTTACAGCCCTAACTATACTCAAAAAAAAAGCAAACTAAACGAAATTCATTTAGTCAAAATATACATTTTAATAAATAAAGATTTAGCACCTAGTTGTCTTCGAGCACCCATCAAAACAACAGATTACAGGCCTAATCAATTGAGGGATAAAAAAAGAAGTGAACGGAGTGCTGTAAGGGAAACTGTGGCAAGAATTTTCATATTGAGGCACGATCGGTTTTGGGGTGATACTCAATCAGCAAACACTTATCTGGCACTATTACTAACTTTTGGGGCTGAAGATTTTGGGGCGGAACCGCAGACAACGACCAGACAGAACCCTCGTTAACAGACGTGCTGCAACCAGCTAAAAAATAAACCGAAATCGAAAACCAACTACCAGATAAGAGAGTCTCGCTTGGCGAGTCTTTTGGCCAAGATAAGACCTGGCTATAAAAGAGCCCAGCTGTTGGTCTGCAGTCATGAGAGCAGAATTCACCATGCAGAAGAGCACAGCCCAGATGATCGCAGCAATCTGCCTGATCTGTCAATCTTTGGCAGTGGAGGTTAAGGATGAGGATAAAAAGTCCCTAAATATTGACAGTGTCCAACAGCATAATTTAAAACTGCTAACTGAGCAACTGAATCGGGGATGGCGCGCCTTCTGTAAGTGTGAAAAATAAACCCAATAGCCAAGACGATCTTATAACAAAATCTCGGACAGGTGATGCCCCCGTGGATGAGGGTGTGATGTCCCTGTTTCAGGGCATTAATCCCAGCGATGCCCGAATCCATGTCATGACCATTACCAACCAGAGTGTGGAGCTGCCCATCAAGTCGATATCAGAAATCAAAGACTTCGACATCAATCCGGAGCGAAAGACCCTCATCTATGTGAATGCCTTCCATACGGCCGACAGTTATTTCAGTGTCCAGGAGCACTTGACTCTACTGCAGAATAGCAGGAGGGATCTCAATGTCATAGTGGTGGATTTCGCCAAGGATGTGGCTCATTTGTACTATGCAGTGCGTCATCATCTCTCCGTTGATGGGTATTTCGTGTATAAACTTCTGAGGGCGCTAAGGGATGCGGGCATTTCCGTGCAGGATATAACTTTGGCAGGACACTCGGTGGGTGCGAATATAGCCGCTTTGGGAGCACAACTATTTGCCAGGGAAAACAAACAGTTGGTGGGTCAACTGATAGCCATCGATCCTGCCACAATGTGCCGCACAACCGATATCTTGGTGAAACAAAGTGTGGCTGCGAGGGTGGTAGTGCTGCACGGTGAGGGTGATGTTTTTGGGGTGAGGGTTCCTCTGGGTCACATTGATGTTTACCCCAATGGCATTGGTTACTTCCCGAGAAGGAAACTTCAGCCGGGCTGCGATTCCAAGATCTGCAGTCACATGTATCCCTTTGTTTTGTTCATGGAGGTAAGGTTTTTTACATTTACCAAAGTAGTTTTATTTAATTTCAGTTCAATTGTATAGGCTCTCATCGAGGGTGTGATGATCCCAGCCACCAAATGCGAGAGCTGGGCCAAATTCCGCCAGGGAGACTGCAATTTCCAAAACACCATCAACATTGGTCTTATATATCCAGCTAGTGCCAAGGGTCTGTACTTCTGTTTGACCCAGCCCAATCCTCCATTTACGTACATGGAACATGGACTTCGTTATAAAGCGAGACGTCCTGAAAAACCCACTGACAAAAAGTCATCCTAAGTCATAAACATACCTGTAAGAACTGTAATTGTTTTTTAGTCAGTTAGTTAAGTTATTAAAGTATGTTTTAGTAAGTTAACGATGTTTATTATTTGTCTTTGTATATTTTCATTGAAAGCCTAGAAGTATGCTTCACTTGGGCTTCAATTAATCGACAGCAGCGTTGCCAGATCCATATATTTAGTTCATTTCGTGGAACTAAAGCGTTAAATTGCCGATTTTTTTTCATTTTCAATAACCGTTTATTTGCCAATTTAAGACTTTGAATTTATAAATGGCATCTTAAAATTCTTTTTAGTTAGTTTTTATTTATTCTGCACCGCGGATGATTTAGAATTGATCTTTCTGTGGAATCTATCTCTTTGCATTTATTTAATTTTCTCTTTACTTTTGCTGATCTTTGGCTTAAGCCCAAATTGAAAACAGCTGATTAACCTCATCGAAGCCGACTCTCACAGCTGCAAGAGAGGGAGTTAAGAAAAGAGAGCCCGGCGAGAGTCTCTTATTTCAGGGGCTTAGTAAAAAAGGATAGCTTAATTCCAAGACCCTAAGCTCTTATGAACTTCTCAAAACAAACTAAAATATTTAAACGAAAATTACATTCAAATATCTTTGTTTAAACCAGTTTAACACATTTTTATGACTTACATAGAAGCATGAAAATTTTGAAAAAATTTCAAAACTCTGTGTTGCATTTTAAAATCCCTTCTAGCCCCCATCTACTCCCCTGTCGCCACCAATTTGTGTATATGTCTGTATTTTGTGGGATCCGCTCGCTGTAGCCTCGTCTACCTGTTGCCAACTAAACTTTTTTCGTGCTGGCTGGAAAAAGTGAGTTAAGAGCCGCTCGCAGCCAACTCTGGAGCGCAGTTTGGTTGAGTTTGTCGAGCGGTACGGTTGCTCGGCGGTCGGCATCGCAATCGCAGTTGCAGCTCGAGCTTGAAGTGTCCAGCGATAAACCCGTCGTCGTGCTGTCGGTACGTGGAGCAAAATTCACTGAGCTGAGCTGAGCTGAACACTCGCCAGTTGATCGTGCGGAACCCCATTGAAGCCAGCACTCGAACATTACACAAAACGTCTAAAAATTGTATACAAAAAACAGACGCTTTTCTTTTGTGGTTTTTGCTGCTGCTGCTGCTGCTGTTTTCTGTGTAAACATTAAAAAAAAGTTTTAGGTCCAAGTGTGTTAAATGTAACGACACCGAAAAGTCTATTACCCGCACTACAAAAAGATACATAATGAAATTCCTATATGATCTGGGTGACCAGGTCCCTCCATTAGAAACACGTATCCACTTAGTTGAGTATCCGATCTGTATCTGTGTATCTGTAATCGTAAACGCGTCGTACGCCAGCGCGTGTCTCCAGCTTTAAATGGCCTAAGCGGCTTCGTAAACCAAGCTCCCAACTGGTCAAGTTTACTTTTATTTATATTTTTTTCGCCCAATCCGATTAGGTGTTCAGTCGGCATTCTATTGACTAAAATAAACGGCCACGCCAAACTCGGATGCAATTTTTCAATTGAACATGCTTAATGAGTGAAGAGCAATTAGAAAGATATATACATGTATATTATATAAACAGAAACTACTAAAAATTGCGGAGTAATGAAGTAATTGATGATGCTCGGTTGTGTAATCCACACACGAATGATAAATTGAATGTATTTGATATATTAGCGAATAAATTAAAGTTTTGAGCGGTCATATGAGTGCCAGCAATAAATCAATGTAAATTAATGAACAGTTCTATATATATTTAAAGCTTTTTACTTTAACAAACACGTTAATTTTTTTTTTTTTAAGTGCTGTTTTAATCGTTTCAATAATACTTAACGAGTTTATGGAGAACGCTAACAATGCTAACAGAAATCGGATTCATGCCTAGATATATCTGCTTTATTGTGTGCTAATGAGGCCCGAAAACTCCCACCTTTCAAGTGGTTAATTCTGGGAACGAATCCGTGAATGGAAAAAGTGCAAGTGATAGGCGAATTAAAGAGCGATTGCTTTGACTCATTTGGTAAACAAATTGCGGGGCAAATACGTCAGAAGAAAGTGAAATTTATTCCAGCCAAATTCGTCACCAATCAAAGTCGGCTCTTCACTCCATATCGCGTATACGCAGTGTGTTTTTCAAGAAGCTGTAACCTCTCATATCTTAAGCACTGACTGACAGGTTGTTTGTTCTCAAAATATATTACCGCAGGGGTGGACAGATGAGATTAAATCTCCAGGCAGGTCAATGACTACAATTTGTCTCCAAAGAACATGTAGATTACGAAACGTTTTAGCCGTCAGCCAGTATAAATAACTAATCTGGGAATCACGACTATCTTTAATTGTTTCTCAACTGCTAAACAATAGGAAAGTTCTTGGGAAACCAGTGGCAGTGGGTGGTTTCTCTAGCCGTGTTTTCAAACGCCATCGTGACTTAACTTGGCCTAGACCCCTGTTCACAACCGGTTGGCTCTTACATTCCTGAAGATCACCTGCTATGTTTGTAAACGAAATTAACGCGCTAAAGTGAAAATTGCCGGAGTTCCCCGTGCCTGGAATCTGTATAACTTTAAGCCCCATATAGAACCCGTTCTGTTGCCCCTGCCTGGTTGTAGCTTATGCAAATATTTGCAGCTTCGACTAGCGATAAAGAGCAAATACAACAGGTTTCAAATATTCGCATTTACAGGCCCAAGTTGAAAACACTTTTTGAAAAATCTGTGATCTTCAATCGTTCGATTAATCAAAATCGCGTCGGAGAAACGCAACATAAACGGAATTAATCAAGAGCCGAATCAACAGAAAACGGGAAACGATAAAGACTCGTGGCGCTGACGGCGCAAATTAAGCACCCGCAAAAAAATCAGAGAAACTGCCGAATTTTTGCCCAACCCAAGGTTTTCTTATGAAAAAAATAAAAATATATACCCAAAAATCCCGAAAAAAAGCTGTTAAGATACCTTGCCATTGAGGAGAGTCTACAGTTTTGGGGAAATCCTGGCCACAAAATGATGTTAAGTACTAAAAAAAAATATACAAAAGGCCAAAAAGGGAACCCATAATAATTGTGTGTACAAGGTAATGGTAATAAAGTGAAGTGAAACAAAATAAACCTATATAAAGTGTACATGATATATGGGTATTTTGAAGTAGTGACAAATTCACGTATGGCTATAACTCGGTTCTCAGCTTAAAACACAGCATTTCACCCAAATTGAAAGTGCATAGCCCATTAAATTTACAATAAATACAAATCAACAAAATGGAAAACAGCAGCAACAACAGAAACACCACAGAAAAACTGTTCGATACGTGCCGGAATTTAAGTTGAGCTTTTTAGCCCTCCAGTATTATTTGCATGGATTGCATGTGTATTGCTCTTTACATTTTTACCAGGCGCATGTGACCGCCCACCTCCTGTCCTCTATTGTTAGGAATACAGTCAAGCTACAAGAAATAGAATTTTAAATCAATATTTATAATGAAATTTATCAGAAAAAAAATTAAATTTTCATTTAGATTTGTAAATTTTTAAAATATGAAATTCTGAAATAATAATTTTGATTATTTTATTTTATTTTAAGTAGTACAACTGTATTTATTTTGTTATTTTTTAGGAGAAGCTTAAAAACCAGAGGTTTGGAGAGAGCGAGAAAGAGAGAGAGTCGCAGCCTGAGCGGCGGGGATGTGAGAGAGAGGGAAAGCAGCCGACGGCGACGCTGCTTTCAATGACGCGGCAACAAAAACAATTAACAAAATTCGCGTACGAAATCAAACAACAACTACAATTTGGCCTTCTCCATATTGGCAGCGGCCTGGCACCGGCCAAAACAACAATAAAAACCAATTGTTTGTGATTAAGTAAACAAAAACAAGATCAGTTAAAAAAAAATAACTAAGTCAAAAATAAGGGACCTCCACAAACAATGACCGTCTCGTATGCGGGGGAAGTGCCAAATGGGAGCAGCTTTGGCTGCTTCTGGAAGATCCTCTGGAAGTGAGTAATATCTATAAGAAAATATATTATTAGCCGTTTGAAATTCAGTGGCAGGAGAATTTTTTTGTTGTTGTAATGAAATAATTTTTTTTTACTTTATGAAAACAATGCATTCAGACATCATCAGAAATTTGATAAAAAAAAAATATCTTATAAATCATTTTTATTAATATAAAAACTTTCTCGAATAAATGAAAAGAATTTTTGTGTTTATAAAGTTATTAATACTTATTTTATTTAACAGTTAGCACGAGGCTATATCAAAAAATCATGAAATTTAAAGCAAGTTATTCTCAGTATACTCTCGGATCTAGACTATCTGGGTCACCACCCGAGAGGTACCGATTCCGGGGATTTTTCCGCATTACTCATTCACCTGTTCGAGTGTTTGCCAACGCAATTAACGTCCAATACTATGAACTTCTCTATTCAGACTCCATATATTGACAGCTCTTCCCGGCAACATATGGTTTCAGATTATTTTGTTTTTGGAGTGTGTTTATTTTTAACCCCAATTCGCTTTAATTGTTTCCCAAGTGCAGTCACTCGTAACTGGGCAGTTAGAACAGCAATTCCAGTTCCAGTTACTGTTGCACAGTTCCAGTTTTTGCCATTCAAAACAGAGAGAAGAAAAATTGGTATAACACCGCAGCTCCAAAAGCTCAGTTGATAAGGCAAACATTTTGTAATGGATTCACTAATTGGAACCTTTTGCAAGCCACTTTTATGACTTAGTAAATGTAAAAATTATTTAAAACATATTGCTATTGCTTTCAACGATAACCACGCGTTCCAATAGCAATAGTAACTTTGGACTAATAATCTTGAACAAAGGTTAACGCCACCCCAACCCAAATTTTGAAAAGAAGAAAGCAAGCGAAACCTTGATCAAAACAAACAGAACAAAGACCCCACCTGAATAGTATCAGTTTTGAAGCGGTTATGCCAATCATTATACATACATTTTTTATAATGTATCAAATCACACTATTGGGACATTAGAATTCATTGGAACTAACATGCAAGATTGAAATACCCCAAAAAAAAAGTCTTACGGAACTGTGGCAACCTATTAAGCTCAAAAAAAAAAATCAAAAATACAATGATCAGACAAGAGGTGGACATGATTAAATGTCTGAATGAGGAAATCATTTCCAATCAAACAAAACCAGTTAGTTACAGCTCAATGTTGGCTTAGCCATAAATTCTTCGACTACTTTAATTTAATTAATTAAAATCCCTTCCCCTTTAAATAGATGGCGCGGCAGTGTTTACAAATTGATCTGGCGCGAACTAATTGCGTATCTTTGTTTATACTATACCATAAATGTTATCTACAGATTTGGTCTGACAGAAAGTCAGCAGGCGTAAGTATTAAATGATTTTCTCCTCAGTTACTTTGGTATAAAAGTCTTCGTATCTTGACAGCATTTTTAAGAAAATTCGCCTATACTTTGGGCAGCAGAGTGAAAGTATACCCATGTCCTTTGTGCTCGGCTTCTATGTAAATTTGGTGGTGAAACGCTGGTGGGAGCAGTATCGTCTTTTGCCCTGGCCAGATACGTTGGCCCTGTTTATAAGTGCAGCTATTCCCAACTCAAATGGCGGCGTAAATGTAAGAAAATATTTATAAAGACTTAACTCAACGAACTCGTTTAAACCATTTTGAATACCTAAATAAACAGAACGAAACGGGTCGCCTAATGCGTCGTAATATCATGCGCTATATGGTCCTAGCCTATGTGATCACCCTGCAGCGAATTTCCCTCCGGGTGAAACGTCGCTTTCCCACCACCCAGCATCTTGTGGACGCGGGCCTGATGCACGAGTCCGAGATGAAAATCTTCGAGGCTCTGAATCAGAAGAGTCCCATGTCCAAGTACTGGATGCCTCTGGTTTGGGCCACCAATATTATCAATCGAGCCAGGAAGGATGGCCTGATTGCCTCGGATCATATTGTGCAAACCATTTTGGTGGAACTCTCAGATATACGTAGACGTTTGGGTGGTCTAATTGGCTACGATACGGTCTGTGTTCCTCTGGTCTACACTCAGGTGAGTTTTACAAAAAATATAATATACTGTCTTTTTCTCAAAACTTTTTTATGAAAAAGAATGTTAATTTACTCTTCGCTAATATTTTACATATAAAATGGCATAAAACATTTAAACAAATTTGGAATTCGCAAATATGATTTTACATAACCTTTTCTTAACAAAACCTTTAAATCAATATTTATAGGTGGTTACCCTGGTGCTGTATACCTATTTCATAGCAGCCCTTTTGGGCCGTCAAATGTTGCCCAATGTCTTGGATAAAAACGGACGCGAAGATCCCGATCTGTTCTTTCCCCTCTTTACGGTGTTGCAGGTAAATCATTTAATCGTATAATTAAATTATAATTTTCACGCTTGATTTATTACGGCTTAGAAGCTATCTTAATTTGCACGTTCCGCCTTATTTACCATAAATCAAAGTCAAATTTGCACGTCTCGGTGTTTTGTAAAAGTTTAAAAACTTGTTGCGGTTTTTGTATTACTCGCAGTTGTTTTTGCTGTTTTTCACCGAACTGAGTGGTCGAATGTAATGGCTATACCTTGTTAGCGATATGCCGCACAGATGCTCTATATATATGTTATACTATATAATGGCTATATCATGATATGGCCAGTTACAACAGTTGTGTTTGCTGTTTTCCGTTTTGGTTTCTGCGGTTTTCCGCTGGGGACAGATTTCAAGTGCCTTATGTAAACGATTCGCGGTCACGTCCACGTAATATATTGACATTATGCCGGGCTCTAGTCTGGTTTGTGTTTTTTTCAGCAATTTTAATCTGCGACAAGTGTTTTGCTATCATTATTAACTGTTAATGCCTATACCATATAATTTGAAGCCACAAAAAGTGAATGGAATTGCAAACCTTTCCCTGGCCGCCGTGCTTTTAAAATATTCCCAAAATTGTTTTTTTTTTACGTTGCAATTATTTGATCCAATCGCCTTCAATTAATCTTTGCAGTTCGTTTTCTACGTGGGCTGGCTGAAAGTGGCCGAGGTGCTAATCAATCCCTTTGGCGAAGATGACGACGATATCGAGCTCAATTGGCTGATTGACCGGCACATCAAGGTGAGTCTAAGGTGCAAATAATTCGCACTGTCTTTATGTAATCCGATGTGGCACATTGTCTTTACGCCATCCATCTGTTAAACGTTTTTAATAAGCAGTGGCAATAATTACTGCGGTGAATACAGCCATAAAACAATAATTTTTCGTTAGAGATGCGAACAAAATTCCCCCTCTGAAATTCACCAAAAACCTGTATAACTCCCAATTAATTTCATTTAGCATGATCTATATAAATTCAAAGATTTTCAAATTTAATTAAGAACGATGCTCGGAGCAGATAGTCTAGGACTCGAAATTCTTCAAAATTGAACTTACCAGCGTTTAACTCAAACCTTGAGCAACACACATCCGCAAGATACAATACCTATACGAATCTGGTCAGGGGGTAATACCCATAATTATAATTTCATAGCTTCCCAAGTATTATGACTGCTAAAATCTGAATTTGCTAATTGGGTTAGCATGCTAACTAAGTAAAGATTTTTTCGCTCTTAAAGCGATAATCGCTTGGGACAGCCACTTCTTGGATTGCTGCTGAAAGGCAAAGAAAATGTCCGTCTGCCACGTGCTAAAAATAACAGACGTTCTCTACGTAGCCAAACAAACACTCAAAAGCTAAGCGTTTTTTCATTAAAACGAACCGTACATTCTCCTGAATTAAATAAAATAATAGTATTTGAAAATATAATTCGTGGAACCATAAGCAAGAAAAGACGTAATTCTTCCCAAAGCAAGTCTTTAGATTGAAAAATAAAATACTTCTGGTATTAAATGCTCTTGATAAAGGGCATCTAAATTCGACTATATTCCTTTGGCTGCTGATGCTGATTGAAGTTTTGGACTTGGGCTTCGGAGCTCGAAGTGGCTGTGTGTTAGGCGCTCGTTTTGCATGTGTGAAGTGTGTATGTTCGTATCTGTGTTTGGGGTCTGCCGTTGCTTGCAATTATTTACAAAAGTTAGCAGCAGCAGCAGCAAAAGTAAATTGAAAACAGGTTTTTGTTCAAAAAATGAGAAAAAAATACGAACTGAAAACATTGAAACCTCTTTTGTAGAGCTTTATCATTGACTGTTTTCGTGTGTGTTTTTATGGTCACCGCTGGGTTTGCTCGATTTCGGAAATGCATCTCAAGAGGTCGAGCACACAAATGCCCACTTTAAGCACGGTTATCAGCAGGGGGTTAATGCCAACACCTCTACCAGGTTTTGCGGACCATTTCCACTGCACTTCACACGACCAGACGTGACTCTTACCGCAGTCGCTCGTAAATGGCAAATTGAAAGCAGATCGCGGCTAAATGATTAAGCAAATGAGTATTTTTTATACTTTTTCTTATTATTATTATTATTGTTTCTGTATATTTTTTTCTTTATTATTTTAAATTTTTCTGTTGTGGGATGTGCACTGGTTTTTGTTATGGAATAATTAAAAACTTGTAAACAATTTCACTTTTTCTTTTGTTTCGATGTGGGGCAGTAGCCACGGCTCGATCATTGTGACGTAATTGTGTTTACTGCCTCCTCGAAATAGCTCGAAAATCGCAAATGGCGAACACGTCTCGATTTTAAAGAGCCCTCGACTGATCTACTTTTGAAAAACTCGCTTTCAGGCAGCCTACATGATCGTCGACGAGATGCACGAGGAGCACCCCGAGCTGCTGCGGGATCAGTACTGGGAGTGCGTGGTGCCCAAGGATCTGCCCTACACAGTGGCCTCGGAACATTACCGGAAGGACGAGCCCAAGGGCTCCGCCGAGAAGTACAAGGTCAAGAAGGAGGACGCCATGTACGCCAACATAATGCCGGGAGGCGGAAAACGAATGCTCAGCGACGATGTCTATGCGGATTACGTGAGTATCTAGATCATTAACAAATTGTTGGCTCAATATGGGTAAACATTCCTTTTTAATCGGGGATACTAGTTTCAGATACTTCTATATGTCCATATTTATAAAGCCAACAAACAATGAATTCAAAACTCATTCGAAAAAGATTTAGAATTATTTCAAAATCACCTGCAACATATTTAGTTTACATTTTATTGACTCACTAAGTGGCTTGTTGCTCTTAAATCACAACTTAAAACTTGTAAAAAGGTGGAACTATACATTACTCTAAAGCATTGGAGTTACTCCACAAGCACTAAATTAAGAAATACACATAAAATTCAGATTGATTGCCACTGAGAGCTACTGTTTGACTGCTCTACCCTTAAATTTGATGAACGTATTGGCTTTTTGAGATAAATTTCCTTAAAGATTTATGTCCATAAATCTAGAAAATATAACAGAGTTTTTAGTTTACGAGAGAAAACTTTTTAACAATACATTTGACCCATAATAGGAGAGCGTGGACACCCCGATGGTGGAAAGGCGGAAAAATAATTGGCTGGTCAGGCAGCTATCCCGCATGGGTTCGATGAGGAGCCAGTCGACAGCCTACTCCTCCGGCGGAATGCCCTTCAACCGCAATCGCCTCAATTCCGTGTACTCTAGTCCCGAGTCCGGCTTGCCACTGACCATCCTGCAGCAGCAGCAACTGCAGCAGGCGCATCAGCAACAACAGGCCGGATCGCAACCAAGTAAATCGAGTCTCTATGGGAAGTTTGTGCATCGCAAGTCGCTCCGAGCACAACGTCAACTTATCAAGCAAAGTGAGTATGCATTAAGGCAAACACATTTTAAAACGAAAGATTTAATACTTTTTGGTATAATTTTTATAATTTTTAGCTTACATATCATTTTATCAACAAGTTTGTGCATATAAAAAATGTTTTTAAATGTAGTGTTTAGAATTTGATCGTGCATATAAACCAACGTCTAATTATTCTGCAACCCCAAAAGTATGCATTCCAAATTATACTTTTTCTTTACCTACAGACTCAAAGCTGAATGGCTTAAATGTGAATGTGGCGAAGACCAGACCAAGGATTCCCACGCCCGAGGTAGCCAAGGATGGCAACACGAACCCAGGTGAGTAACACCCACAACACCCGCACGAAACCTGCAACATTTTGTTAAACTTGCACCACCTCCATGTAGCCACCAGTTCGGTCCTCATGGCACCACAGCAGCTGAGCACCACCAGCGCACCACCGGGCATGTACCCCTCTTCCTACGCACCCGACACCCTTCTGCACCAGGAGAGCGGCCAGGTGCTGGGCACGCTGCTGCTCTCGCCCATCAAAGAGATGGATAGCTCATCGTCCAATAACACTTTGATTCCAGGACATCCCGCCACCGCCGCCCTGGCAGCCAGCATGAAGGAGGGATTCGCAGCGAGCAGTAAGTAAAAATATCATAACAGTAAAAACGATTGAGACTTCATAGTTTCAAACAAATGTTTTTCAGTCTATATATAAAAATATACATAGAATCCTTGAAATCCTCCTAAAATCCTAGATAAAGTAAAAATGTATGACCCATATATAATCTTATTAAAAAATTATTTAAATCATGTTAACAAAATTAATGAAAAAGGAACATTTTTTAATCCAGAACTTAGGAAATGTTTTGTTCCAAAATACTTTAACCCTAAAATGTTGTAGATAAAATATTATTTGTGTCTCCCAATTTCCAGATATTCCCGCTGCCACGAATATCACAACCCTGTCGTTCCCCTTCAGCGTGACCAGTAGTGGAGGCGAAACATTGCCCACCGGGACACTGAGCATCCTGCCCATTACGGCCAACGCCCAGTTGCCCACGATCACCACGTCAGCCAGTGGCTACGATCCCAACGATGTGATCACCACAATACCGGTTTCCCTGTCCATCCAGAGATCGCCATCGGCACTCTCGATTGTCGAGCTGACCGGCACCGATGTCCAGGATGGTTACAGCAACAGTGGATCAAGCAATGGAAATGGTGGGATCACCACCACGGCCCTGCTCTCCGTTAAGCCCCTCAACGGGAACGCAAACATTTCGCGGACCAACAGTTTTAACTTGAGCCTAAATCTGCAGGATTCGCAGCAGCGATCCTCAGTAAGATCTACGGGGCGACCCGCAGATGCGATGGACTCCTCAGCCACAATGCCAATGCCCCAGAGAAGCGGAGGTCTGGAAACGGGAGCAGGAGGATCCTCGGCACCCTCAACGCTGGCGAAACACAAGCCGGAACAAAAGACCGGAGAGGTCTATGTGTGACACTATGTGTGTTAGCGAGCGACGTAACTAGACTTAAGAACCAATGGCTTTGAGCCACCCGGAACCACTAAAATGATATTATCAGCAGCCTGGAAATTTGATTTGTTCAAGGACAAATGCCTTATCTTATATACAATCAGCAAATCAGGAAGTCTAATACCGTTTTTCATTTTAATGAATTTTTACGGAACTAAAATAATTAATTATTAAAAAAAATTGTTTGGTATTTCTAAAAATGTATTTTAAGTAAAATTGGTATCAGACCCCTTCATTTTATACTTTATAAGTCCAGCTCAACAAAATTCTAGTAAAAGCGAGAAATTCTAACTTTATGGAGTATTGTACATAATTAGCTTATTTAATAGGAAATTGACTTATTGTTTTGGCACTTGCCATATTAGTTAAGCGCTTTAATCTTTGCATAACTGTATAAAGAATCTCAATCTCGTGTAGGCAGTGTAAATACTTGTAAACCAACACAGTATGTGATATGCGATTGTTATTCAGCTAGAATTTGTATCTTTACAAGTACAGATAAATAAGTGCCTATGTTTATATTCTGTAACTATAATACCCTGTATGTGAATCTAGGAAATCTATGCAATAGTGGCCTTTGTACAGATAAAGAGGCAACTTCTTTTAGTTATACTTTGAAATAAAATCAATCACTTAACAAACAAGTTTTTGGAATATATATGTTCTTGTTGGTATAAGAGATGCAGAAGAGTTATTTATGTCACTTTCCACAGACACTCTTTGCTTGACCAATTGAGACTCTTCGAACCTACCCCAAGAGAAAGATCAATTAGAACTTGAACCCCAACGGTGTGATATATGTAGGCAGCGAATTTAAATGGATGCTCGTGGAAGATGGGCAGTCAGTTGCGCTTGGGCGCTCAAGCGGTAACGATCTGCGGAATATATTCATCTTCGATCGAGAACAAGTGCGAATAATTGAAGGATAAATCAAAAAGTGTCAATAAAAAGGTAAATATCCAGCGAAAAAGTTTCTATGGAAGGAACCGATTTCAATCTGCAGACGAGTAACTCAAAAAGATGCACTTCTTTTGGCCCCGGAATGTACCCAATAATATATATTCTATTACTCGTTAACCCCGCGGGTCAATGAGAGCTATGTGGCCAAAGAAACAAACTTGCATGCGAGCGCAAAGTGTTGCCTAATTGAATTAACCTTTTGTCTGGTCTGGTTCGAATTTGTGCCCGCTTTGAGTGAAGAAATCTTGACCACGGATCGATGGTCCATTGAAAAATAAAGCTCTATTAATTGCCATTCCGCCAGTGTCGACTATCCACCGTCATGGAGCGCGATGAGGCGTCCACCACGACCAGCGATGAAAAGTCCCAGGAGGAGGCTCCCACGGCCGAGGGTCTGGAGACCACGGAGCCCATCAGTTTCCTGAAGCTCTTCCGATTCTCCACGTACGGAGAGATCGCCTGGCTCTTCTTCGGGTTCATTATGTGCTGCATCAAGGCCCTAACCCTGCCCGCTGTGGTCATCATTTACAGCGAGTTCACATCCATGCTGGTGGACCGTGCCATGATGTTTGGCACCAGCTCAAAGGTTCATGCCTTGCCTATTTTCGGAGGTGGTAAAACACTGTAAGTGGTGATAATCATTTTATGGATATCAATTAAATTTATATATTTATTTTGATTGAATTAGATTCAAAGATTAGGTTTTATCATTTATCAATCATACGCAGCGTGGCCACTGCAAACTACATTTTGCAAATTGAATTTTTAAGCTGATCAATTGATTTGTATATGTATGTTTATTATAATCAAATAGTTGTTACTAGTAGCAGTTAAACTTGAACATTTAAGTTTTTAGACAATAAAATTCTACAAATTGTCATATTAAAGCAACTTCTTTAAATGTATCTTTTAAATTTTTTTTTTAATTCCAGAACGAATGCCTCTCGGGAGGAAAACAGCGAAGCTTTATATGATGACTCCATATCTTATGGCATTCTTTTAACCATAGCTTCTGTGGTGATGTTTATATCCGGAATATTCTCCGTGGATGTTTTCAATATGGTGGCCCTGCGTCAGGTCACACGGATGCGGATAAAGCTTTTTACGTCCGTGATACGCCAGGACATCGGCTGGCACGACCTGGCCAGCAAACAAAACTTTACCCAAAGTATGGTGGAGTAAGTAATTGAAGCAGCATTATCTTTGAAATAATGTTAGCCAAATAATCGAATATTTTGTATACTCCAGTGATGTGGAAAAGATTCGTGACGGAATCTCAGAAAAGGTGGGACATTTTGTGTACCTGGTTGTGGGCTTCATCATAACCGTGGCTATTTCATTTGGCTACGGTTGGAAACTCACCTTAGCTGTGAGTTCGTACATTCCTCTGGTGATCCTGGTCAATTATTATGTGGCTAAGGTGAGAACTGTTAATCAAATGTTGGTCATAAATAACTGGTATTCAAATACGTAGATAACCATATATTTCTTACAGATTAATCGATGCTATTTTGAAAAGTTTCTAAAATGTTTTCTTTATTTCTTAAGTTCCAAGGAAAGCTAACTGCCCGGGAACAGGAATCCTATGCAGGCGCTGGCAATTTGGCAGAGGAAATTCTCAGTGCCATACGCACTGTGGTCTCGTTCGGTGGAGAAAAGTCCGAAGTGCAGCGCTATGAGAACTTCTTGGTGCCAGCGCGAAAGGCAAGTCAGTGGAAAGGCGCCTTTTCGGGGGTCAGTGATGCGGTTTTGAAGTCGATGCTATATCTATCCTGCGCCGGAGCCTTTTGGTATGGCGTCAATCTCATCATCGACGATCGAAATGTGGAAGATAAGGAGTACACACCTGCCATTCTGATGATTGTAAGAAATATACATTTATATTATCCCGGCATATATCTAAATTTTTATTTTCCCAAGGCCTTTTTTGGCATAATTGTGGGTGCGGATAACATAGCCAGAACTGCCCCCTTTCTGGAGTCCTTTGCCACTGCCCGCGGCTGTGCCACCAACCTGTTCAAGGTCATCGATCTGACCTCCAAGATCGATCCGCTGTCCACAGATGGCAAACTCCTGAACTACGGCCTTCGCGGTGATGTTGAGTTCCAGGATGTCTTCTTCCGATATCCCTCCCGTCCAGAGGTTATAGTACACAGAGGCCTGAATATCAGGATCAGAGCGGGCCAAACGGTGGCCTTGGTGGGTTCTTCGGGCTGTGGCAAGTCCACCTGTGTGCAGTTGCTCCAGAGGTTCTACGATCCCGTTTTTGGTTCAGTGCTGCTTGATGACTTGGACATCAGGAAATACAATATTCAATGGCTTAGATCGAATATTGCCGTGGTGGGTCAGGAACCTGTATTATTTTTCGGAACTATAGGTGGGTTTACTAAGATTGTTGCACTATAAGCCATATACGTTTGGTTTGTTGACAGCCCAAAACATTAGTTATGGTAAGCCAGGAGCCACGCAGAAAGAAATCGAAGCGGCTGCCACTCAAGCGGGTGCCCATGAGTTCATCACAAACCTGCCAGAGGTAAGAAACAGCATCTTTTTGATCTGTAAGTGCAACAAATGAAAGACAATGTTCAATTTTATAGAGTTATCGCAGCATGATTGGTGAACGGGGCTCCCAACTCTCAGGAGGTCAAAAGCAACGTATAGCCATCGCCAGAGCTTTGATTCAGAACCCGAAGATCCTGCTTCTGGATGAGGCCACCTCGGCACTGGACTACCAATCCGAGAAACAGGTTCAACAGGCTCTGGATTTGGCCAGTAAAGGTCGCACAACCATCGTGGTTTCGCATCGATTGTCGGCCATTCGAGGCGCCGACAAGATCGTCTTTATCCACGATGGTAAGGTTTTGGAGGAGGGTTCCCACGATGACCTAATGGCTCTGGAGGGTGCCTACTACAACATGGTTCATGCTGGCGACATCAAAATGCCCGACGAGTTGGAGAAGGAGGAGAGCGTTGAGGAGACCAAACGTAAATACTTTTGGGACTCAAAACAGTCCTAAGTATTACTTTAACTCTTCTTTTTCTAGGAAAAAGTCTGGCTCTTTTTGAGAAATCCTTCGAGACTAGTCCTCTGAACTTCGAGAAAGGCCAGAAAAACAGCGTCCAGTTTGACGAAACTATCATCAAATCCCTTGTCAAGGACACCAATGCCAAGATAGTTGAAACTCCCGCCGAAAAACACAACTTTTTCCGCACTTTCTCCCGAATTCTGAAACTTGCTCGACCAGAGTGGTGCTACCTGATCCTTGGAACCATAAGCGCCGTCGCCGTCGGTTTTTTGTATCCGGCTTTCGCGATCATATTTGGTGAATTCTATGCAGCCCTGGCTGAACAGGATCCGGAAGATGCGCTACGTCGCACTGCTGTTCTGTCCTGGGCCTGTTTGGGACTCGCTTTCTTGACTGGATTGGTCTGCTTCCTGCAGACTTATTTGTTTAACTATGCGGGCGTTTGGCTGACCACTAGGATGCGAGCGATGACCTTTAAGGCAATGGTGACTCAGGAGGTGGGCTTTTTCGACGATGAGAACAACTCGGTGGGAGCTTTATCCGCTCGCTTGTCTGGCGAGGCAGTTGGAGTCCAGGGAGCCATAGGATACCCCTTGAGCGGAATGATCCAGGCGCTGTCCAACTTCATCTCGAGTGTCAGCGTTGCCATGTACTACAACTGGAAATTGGCTTTGTTGTGTTTGGCCAACTGTCCCATTATCATTGGATCTGTCATCCTGGAAGCAAAGTGGGTTGTGATTCTAGAAGTTTCTTGTCCATTTGATAACTGCCGCTGTCTTTTCAGAATGATGTCCAATGCTATTGTGCGGGAAAAGCAGGTGATTGAGGAAGCTTGTCGCATAGCCACCGAATCCATAACGAACATACGCACTGTTGCCGGGCTGAGAAGGGAGGCCGATGTTATCCGGGAGTACACAGAGGAGATTCAGAGGGTGGAGATACTCATCCGCCAAAAGCTGAGGTGGCGAGGAGTTCTTAACTCCACCATGCAGGCATCGGCATTCTTCGCTTATGCCGTGGCGCTCTGTTACGGAGGAGTTCTGGTGTCCGAGGGTCAGCTCCCCTTCCAGGATATTATCAAGTAAGGATTGGAAAGGAGATCCCAATATTGTACCTAATAAGGATCAAATAAGGGTTGAAATGTAATTATATTTATCAAGTCTTAAGGAGCTAACAGAGGAAATCAGTTAATATGGGTAATATATCGTTATCACGGTCTAGTTTTAAGTATGATAAATCTAAATATGAAATAATACTTTGTTTTTTTCGTTTAACACAATTTAAGGTAGTCAAAATAACCATTTTTAATATTTCATTTTAGGGTGTCGGAAACCTTGTTGTATGGCTCAATGATGCTTGCGCAATCTCTGGCCTTTACCCCTGCCTTCTCCGCTGCCTTGATCGCAGGTCATCGCCTCTTCCAGATACTGGATCGAAAACCAAAGATCCAATCACCCATGGGCACTATCAAAAACACGCTCGCCAAACAATTAAATCTTTTTGAGGGCGTTCGATATCGGGGTATTGAATTCCGGTACCCTACACGACCTGATGCCAAGATTCTTAATGGCTTGGACTTGGAGGTTCTCAAGGGTCAAACGGTGGCCTTGGTGGGTCATTCCGGCTGCGGAAAGTCCACCTGTGTGCAGCTGTTGCAG